GCCGGTATTGAGCAATAGCGCAGTAGGCGGCAGAATCACGCCAAAGCAGGCAAACCAATTTGGTGGATGTCGACCTTAAGTCCGTGCTTATTTTATTCAGTCTGGCTTGATTTTTTTCTGTCAGTAAGATGTATCTGTATTAGGCGATAGCATTGCGGAACGAGACACGAGCGAGATGCGCGGCCACGAGAATGAGAACCTAGCAACTTTTCGGTTTTCAACAGATTTGATAGGACCTACTATTCCCACATGTTTCATTTTGCAATTCTGCTGAAGTATTTAGGGTTGACTTAGAAGATAATTCAAACTTTATTTGCAAAAACTTAATGTGGATGAGAGGTTAGTTCGAACAAAATGGTTGAGATTCTTTTTTCCGCGTATCTTGCCGGCTCGCTCCGCTTCGCAATTCACTCCTGCAAATTTCGTACAGAAAAAAATCAAGTCAAACTTTGGGAAATATTGGCAGCAGTCGGCTTTCCCCGCTTTGAGGTAAATCTGCCCACGTAGTGTTTCTCACGATAGGCCGCTATTATCGCACTATCTAACCGGTCAATCGCTAACATTTAAGTATAGGGCACTTTTTGCTAGTTTGAACGCTATTTTGTAATATTCCAGATCGTTGCCAGTCTCCCTTTTCCACGTGCTGATGGAATTCTGGATGATCAAGAGAGACAGCCATGTTTTGCGGACTGCACCGGAGAACAGATTTTCTTCACGGACTTACGTAATTTTTGTAGAACGACTTTCTAATCTATAGAACATCACTTTTCTTTGAACTGTTTCTAAGAATCTATTCGTTAATGAGGATATTTCAGGTGCAAATACCTTAACTTGCATCGAATTAAGAAAAGATCGCCTTGAAAAGGTGTACAGTAGAAGTCTTCAGCGGTTGCCAACACACAAAGATGACGAAGCTGACCAAAGGTAAACCTTTGTCTAAATATTCATTGGTTACTTATTGCTAGCTTTCAAGGTTCGTATATATGAGCGGAATTCGATGCGACGATTCTGGCCACCTTTTAGTCGCTGATGCCAAAACACGATGTCTTAAAGTGGGCTGAACTTCAGTATCTCATCTTACTTTTTTCTGACTTACAACATCCAGTTGTTAACATCGAATGGGCAGCTGATGAAGAAAGCTCATATGTCTGATGGAAGCAAGTTCCCATACTGTTCAACCTTTGGAGTGTCACCTTCGGGATTGCTCATGGCTTGCGACCGTGGAAGCAGCCGCATGATACTGTATCGCATTGGAGAGGAAAGTAAGCCAGCTGCGATTTACTGCTTCTCTGCTCAAAACTTTTACTTTTGAGTTCACTGTCTATTCTAGCTACGCCTGAAAATGCTATTGTAACTGATGATATTTTCGATCGCATGATTGGTAGGAGCGGAGTAGAGGAAGAAGTGCGCCGAGCAAAGGACGCAGCACATAGGTTCCGATGAGAATTAAGCTTTATTTTGCTTTACCATGCCTTATAACGTGCTCACATCTGTCTTTTACCCGAAGCTCATTTGTATGTCTGTTAAATTGTTCCCTGTAATACTATTCACATAACGACATAGTGGTTTCTTTTTATCATCCGTGACCAATTTTGGTTATGGTGCTTGATTTTCCCTTTGTTTTGTAAGAAGGTCTCAATATTTCCAGTATCTGTATCTCATGTCGTTGGGTAACAACATTCTCTTATCAAAGAAGCTATAACGATCATTGTTATGTTCCATTAGAAGTGCTGATTGTTATTCTCGTTATAAACGATACTACTTTTGGAGGTGGGCATAGAACATAGATCTGATTCGCCTAGTGATTTTAGATAAATAGATTTCAGACAGAAAATAGATTTGTGTTTTTATCGTATGGCTCTCAAGCCTTTTTCTTAGTTCAGCGACTGCTTCTTGTCATTTTTACAGTATTAAGTTCTTCTTGATTTCCAGCCCTTGTAGGTTGGGGTGTGACATCGTGCCCCATAGCTAGGCGTGACAGTCTCGAGTCATTTTACTCGTATCCTTTCCACGGAAGCGGCTGTGGATATAGCACGATGTTTTCTGTTGTTCTACTGACCTCTTCATAGTGAAACGATTGGCGATCCGGAAAGAATATCTGAAAAATTGCTTGAATACTTTTGAAGAACTTCTTGCTAGATGATGAGACCGTTGGTAATATAGGGCTTCTATAAAAATTGCTGGTGATTCCAAATCTGATGCGATGGGTTTACGGTCGTGAAAAATATAACTGGAGCAACCGAGAATGTATGCAAAAATATTTCAGAAATTTTTAACATGACATCTTTTTCAAGTAACAGACTTACTAGGGACTGTGCATCCTATGGCTCGCAGTGTCCGTGTCTGTTTTACAGTCTAACAGGTAGAATATCTATATTATTAACTATAACATGGTACTCTAATACTTATGCTGTGTTGAGAGGTGTTGAAAGATTAAGCTGAGTCGAGGTAGTTCAAGTTCAATTGCAATCCATATTTTCTATGTATAATGAACAATAAAGAAGGAGTTCCGTTGAAATTGCTACAAATCGCCTTTTGCGCTTGGATTTTAGAGGTGAAATCAAAGTTTATCAATCGGATGATCTTCACATTTTTT